ATTGTGCACGGGGAGTCCCCAGGCGTGGGGTCTGATCGGACCCCCGCCCAGTTTATTTATTCATGAAACGTGAAAGGAGCTATTACCAACACCAAGGATACCTTTTGCATGTAAGTTTAAAAACACTGGAAGCAACTCTGATGTCTTTTATTCTATGAAACAATTAGACAGGCTAAGGGGTGCAGAGGGAAGTCCTGGGTAGGTGTGGCTGTTTCAACCAGATGCAAAAAGTCTGTGATTTCTACTCAAAAAAAATCCTGCGATTTAGGGCTTGCCATTCTTTTTTTTTTCTTTTTCCATATCCCTGTCTAAATGCCTATAGATATCTCGCTAATTTACAGCCTTTCAAACATTTTTTTTTTCTTGCAGGAAAATCTCTTTTCCAACCAACTGGTAAATATTAGCTCGAATCCTAACATCCACTTGATTTCTGATCTGGGTCCGTTTTATAAGTCACCTTTGTTTTTCTCCTTGACTTTGCTTATCTTCCCTTGAGCTTCTCTCCCTAAATCACTCTTGCTTGGATTGCCTTCCAGTAAACAGGGCCCTGGGCCGTTCCGTTGATAGAGAGAGCTGCATTTCGAAGACAGCAAAACAGCAGTTAGTTATGGATTGTGGGGGCCCGGGGCTTCGCCACCTCCCATCCCACTGAAGGCAGACTTCCGGGCGTGATGGATGCCCGGCTTGTCCATCTGCTGTGTGGAACTCTTCAAAAAGCGGCGTCAACAAGAGGCCCAGAATCGCCGAGGCAAATGCACAGACGGGGCTGCAGAAGTCACACCGCTGGGGACAGCTGCATCCAGGCCACATTGGATACAATGCGTCCCTCCCGTCCACAGGAGAAACCACGCTCATTTCCTTCGGATGCGATGTCTGTCTTCCCTGGAATGTGCTGCTGGTTTTCTGGCTAATCCATAAATGCCAACACCACGCACCTTTGCCTTATCTTTTCTAAATTCCATAGCTAGTAACGTTTTCTTTAGACAGGTTTCAAAACATCAGTTAGGCGAGAGTTCTATTATGATCAGAATTTTGAGAACCTGTCCTATTTCCTTCCACATGAACACATCTTAAGCTTATTTTTTGCAAACGTAATGCAATAAATAATCTCATGCATTTTACTTGTTTTATTTTTTTTGCAGGGGGTAATCTTCTCACTCCCACATGTAAATTATTTGGGAGACACAGCATTGTCTCAAATAGTTCTAATATCCATGTTTATGAATATGTATGTAGGAAAACCAAAAAAGTCTCCATAACCGATTCTAGAACTCATTAGCATTTTTAGGCTTGTCTCAGCGTCCTGATCAATATACAAGAGTCACTCGCATTCTTTATTACCAGCACTGAGATCCTGAACTTTGAAAATTTAAAAATACCGTTCATAATAGCACTCTAAAGTATAAAATCATTTGAATAAAGTTGACAAAATTCATGCAGTATCTACATGCTTAACACTAAAAACTATTGATGAAAGTAGTTAAACAAGATCTTAAAAATGGAACAATATACTGTATTTATGAACTTATGATACAGTATTATTAAGACACAAATCCCCCTCAATGTATTCAATGGAATTGATGCAATTCTAATCAAAATCCCAAGGCTTTTTTTTTAAATTTACAAGTTGCTTCTAAACTATAAACAGAAATATAAAGGAATAGAATAGTCAAAACACATCTGAAAAAAATTAAAATGGAAGACTCACACTACCAAAGTTGAAGACTATATAAAAGGTACAGTAATGCAGAAAAGAAAGAACATATGCTATTTGAGAAGAAAGTAGTCCCACTGATTGGGGTCCACACTGATCAGTGGGACAGAACAAAGGGCCAGAATAAACCCACACAGTATAATCAACTGATTTTTGACACGGATGCAAAGCCAGTTTAATGGAAAGGCCCAGTCTTTGCAACAGCGTTAAGGTGACCGAATGCAGGACATCACACCTAGCCTAAGGGCCAGCCGCTGCCTGCCCCTGACCCCAAAGTGGACTCACCTGGGATGGCAGGTGTTACTGTACAATGTAAAACTGTAAAATTTCTTTCCTGGCTGGCGTAGCTCAGTGGATTGAGTGCGGGCTGCAAACCAAAGCATCGCAGGTTTGATTCCCAGTCAGGGCACATGCCTGGGTTGCAGGCCACAACCCCCAACAACCGCACATTGATGTTTCTCTCTCTCTCTCTTTCTTCCTTCCTTCCCTCTCTAAAAATAAATAAAATCTTTAAAAAAATCTTTAAAAAACTGTAAAATTTCTTTAAAGGATAGTATGATCTTGGGCTTTGCAGAGTTTTTAGATATGATACTAAGAACACTCTCCATAAAAAAATAATGTGTTGGGCCCTGGCTGGTGTGGCTCAGTGGACTGAGCCCCGGCCTGTGAATCAAAGGGTCGCTGGTTCGATTCCCATCAGGGCATATGCCTGGGTTGCAGGCCAGGTTCCCAGTAGGGGGCGCTTGAGAGGTAACCACACACTGATGTTTCTCTCCCTCTTTCTCCCTCCCTCCCCCTCTCTCTCTAAAAAAAAGTAAATAAATAGCATTTTGGAAAAAAAAGTTTTATTTTTTTAATAAATAAATACTTATTTTAAAAATATGTGTCTTTTACATATGAATTTTGGTTTGGCTTAACCAAAATTAAAAATGATTTGAGAGTTCCTTCTAAAGTTAAACAGACACTTAGAAGGCAAACCCAGCAATCCTGTTGCTACGTTTTCATCCAAATGAGCTGATATCTTTTGTTCACACGGAAGTGCGTGTGAGCATGTTTAGAGCTTTACTCATCATCACCAGGAAATGGAAACCATCCAGCTGTCCTTCGGTGAGCAGGCGCGCGCTAAACAAACCGAATGACCCCCACGCCACGGACCACTGCTCAGCAATCAACAGCAACGACCTGGCGAACATAACAACATGGACAGAGCTTCGCGCATCTTGCTGAGCGAAAGAGGCCAGCTGAGTAGTCTACATGCTGGAAGATTTTCTCGAGAGATGAGTTTCCGTGAGAAACAAAACTCTAAAGAGAGGAGGCAGGTCTGCGATTCCCTGCAGGAGAGACGGGGGAAGATTTGATTATACAAGAGCACATGAGATATGGAAGCAGTTTATCTTCGTGGCACTCTTTGCCGAACTCCCGTCTCGTCCTGAGAAAACACTGAATAAGTTTAAGCTACTGGAGAGCACATTGCTTTTTCATTGTTTCTTTAGAGCATTACTTCCCCTTTTTCCTTTTTTTTCATAGGATTACCAGTCAGGTTCCTATAATTTGTTGATTTAAGTAACCTATAGGCTTTCTTAAACTTTCCTCATCCTTTTGGTGTCTGGAGAAATGATAACATTATCTCTTATTCCCGATATGGATAAGTTGTGCCTGCTCTAATTCTTAACTAGACTGAGCTGCCTAGAGGTTTGTCAGTCTTGTTGATCTCAAATAATAAGCATTTCTGGTTTACATTTCACTGATTTTCCCTGTGGCCTTTATTTATTTCTTCTAATTCATTGGGGTTTTACTTGCTCCTCTTTTCCTGTTGTAGTTTGTTGAGGTTGCCGCGGAAGTAACTGATTAGGGTCTTCATTCAACTCCAGTATGAATGTCAGTGGCGTAGATTCCTTCCTAAGCGCTGCTCTGGCTGATCCCACCCGACCCCGTATGTGTGTGTACGTGGAGGCCGTGCGGCGGCCAGTGCGCGGCAACGGTGGCACCGCGGGCGCCCCATCAGGTCTACGGTGGAGTCCGCCGCGACCCCGCCGTGCAGCGGGTTGGTTCTGCCGGTTTTCCGAGCCGGCTCTGTGCTCTCTGGCCACGCGGAGTCCCGGTATCCCGAAGGATTTCCCGGTTCAGGTCGCGGCGAGAAAACCTTGAACTTCCTCGGAAGCCAGAAAGAGCTTAGAGGGAAGGAAAAACAGTCTTTTAATATCTTGTATTCCGTACAGGCCTCCGCAGGGAGGCTTTCTATGGGACTATGTCAGACGCTGCGGCTTATTAGCAAATGGTGTGACCCCGAACCTTAAAATGTTACACTTTGCCGAAGAAAGGCGTTCACATGAAATGCACACAATGTAGACGATGGAGGGAAGTCCAGTGCTGGCTCGATAGCGGACCGGGTCGCAGGTCAAGTCTTCCAGAAAGAGACGGGACTGTCGTTAATTCCCGGAGGATGGGAGGGGATGGCACTTTGGGAACAGGGAGCGGAAAGCGTAGGGAGGACGCTGGACGTTCACGGCCCTGAGGCCACTCTGGCCGGAGGAGTGTGGACAGCAACGGAATCCAGTGAGAGGGACATGTGAGCCGCTGAGAGCGAATTAGTTACTCAGGTCCACCCTCCCATCAGAAATAGGGCAATTCCGTGTTTCCCCAGTTATCTTGCCTGTATCTTGTACTTTTTGTTTAAAGTGAAACAATTCCAAACAGTGGGCTCCGTCTTTTGCCAGGAGCGGCTGGAGAATTCAAGTCTGCGTCGGCCTCCTTTGGCTGTGCGCAAACTTCTCAGACACCCTCCCCGGGGCCACTGGGGGAAAAGCGCTGGGCCCAGGGGAGCCAAGCCTGGAGACAGCTCCGAAATACGTCCATTTGCATTTAATTTTGCCACTATTTTTGGACTTGGGGTTTTTGAACAATAAAAAGCAGCGAACAATAACTAATTGCAGGTTTGCAGTGGCAGAGGCCGAAGGTAATTTCTTGGTGGCAGGGCCCGGTCCTGCTCCCTGATTCTAGAAAGTGCATTTGAAAGTGGCTGAAAATAGCTTTTCAATCCAACTTCCCTGTCTTGACAGTGAAATGACCACGCAATCCGGTCACTGGGTCAAAAATCAATTCCGAAACAGAAGAGCTTTTCAGGGTTTCTAGTTTTCCTGCACTGGCCTCGGTGAAAGAGTCGGAACCCGTGCCAAGAAGCGAGGCCAGCATTAAAACACAGGAAACACAGTTTCGGCTTTTTCCCTGGGCGGGACAGACAGGTCGGCCGCCTTCCAGCCCCGCCGCGGATCGCCCGAGCGGACCGCTCGCCGCCCCGGGACACCCCACGTGCGCGCGCGCGCGCGGCACCCCTCGCAGGGCCGCGGGAGCCGCGTCGGTGCCGGGACGGTGCCGGGGCGCCCACCCGCCGCTGCCTTCGGAGGGCGGCGTCCCTCCCCGCGCTCGCGCGGAGTCTGCGCCTCGGCGGGCCCCGGGCCGGGCGGGACGAGCCCGGCGACAGTTCCGCGTCTGCGCGGCGGCCGAGGGGCTGGAGCGGGCCGGGAGGCCGGGCTGCGCGGGAGCCAATGGGCGCGCTCGGGGGCCTGGAGGGCGGCGGCGGCGGGCGGCGGTGACGGGCGGCGGGCGCGCGCTGTCGGGATGGAGGGCCAGCTCCCCGCGGCTCCCGAGCGCTCCGCGGGCCTCCCGGCGGGGGACGGCGGCGGGGACAGCCCCTCGGCCCTGCTGCCGGCCGAGGTGCTGGACCTGGACGGGGACGAGGACGACCTGGAGGTGTTCAGTAAGGTGAGCGCGGCGGCGTCCCCGAAAGTTCCCGTGCGCCCGGGGGGGGGGGGGGGGGCTGGAGGTGGGTGGGTCCCGCCGCCGCCGCCGCCGCCGCCGCCGCCGCTCCCTCCTCTGCCTGCACTTTGACCCCCCGCGGGGGGGCAGGGCTGTAGCTTCGTGGAGTTTGCAAAGTTGTGATTTGCCCCTGGGATCTCCTCTCTCCTTCTCCGATGCGGACTTCTGGGGACAGTGCCCCGACCCGGAGGCGGTGGCCCGAAGTGCCCCGCCCCTGGCGGCTTCTTTTCGGGCGCAGCCAGCCTGCTTTAGTGTCGCTGGTTGTGGATTTGCGACCGGGAGGCACCCGAGGTGCGGGTGAAGTCTAGCGGGAATCGGTGCCACGGAGTCCCCTGTTCGGGAGAAGCCGGTTCGTGGGTCCAGTAGGAAGCTCCGCTGAGGAGCCGGGGATCTCAGACATCCAGCCGCGGCCACCAGACCCACAGCCAGCCAACGCTTCCATCCCCCGGGCCCCAGGGACACCTAGGACCCCGACCCCCTAGCGCGTAGTGTAGTTGCAGAGAAACGGACTCGGGTCCGTGGCAGACTAGTGTGTGCGTAGACTGCGGCTGCAACTTCTTTTTGCAGAAGGAATTCTTTCTTGCGGGGCCGTAGAATGTCACCCGGCTTCTTTCCTTGAGGCTGGTGGGAGACTTGAGATGACAACATCATATTCGCTACTGAGAGGGCCGTGCAGTGGGCAGGTGTTGCCTTGAGGTGTCAGGTAAAGCAACAGATGTAACCACTGCTTTATCCTGGGAGAGCGACCCAAGTTAGAAAGTGAATACTCTGACCCCAAAGAAGAGGCTGTAAAACTTTACCCCCGCCCCCCTTAAAAGTGCATGAAATGGCAGCAAGGGTTGGAGTCCAGATGTTCAGCCGGTGGCAGTTTTGCGCTCTCGCTCAAGTCACTTGACCTTTCAGGGTGTTTCGGTTGCAAGACAATGAACTTATTTAGGTTCACTTGTACCAAGTTAACACTGCCTTTTCTATTCCGGCACATTCTTCGTTTTCAGGGAAGGGCGATTGACCGCTTCCCTGCTCGCCTTCTGAGGTGCTGTTGGTCCGCAAGTGTCGGGGCGTGGCTCTGCGTGGTGAGACTTCCCGCCCGCCCGGGAGGGGGTCGGGTGATGGGAGTGGCAACTGTGTATCAGAGTCCTCTCGAACTTGTCATATGACTGCTTGCCCCAGATTCCGAGTGCCCCAGCCCTGTCTTAATGAGTGCCTGTTGCCGGGGACAGACCTCAGGGAAGCTCGTGAAGTCTAAGCTTTGAGTGTTCATTTGCTTAGGCCTCTGGAAATATTGGGAGTCCCTGGGAGCTGTCAGTGTTTTGGGGAGGGGGGAGGGCATGACAGGTTGCAGCCAGAAGCACGTCTCTGTTCTGTTCTTACTGACTTTATTGGGGTGACATTGGTTAAGAAAAGCACATGGGTGTCAAGTGGAACCTCACCTTTTGCGACAGCATGGATGGGCCTGGAGAGTACTATGCTAAGTGAAATAAGCCAGTCAGAGAAACACAAGTACCATACGAACAAAATAAACTAAAAAACAAAATAGAAGCAGACTCATAGACACAGAGAACAGACTGACAGCTGCCAGAGGGGAGGAGGGTTGGGGGGGGAGCTGGGTGAAAAAGGTGAAGGGATTAAGCAGGGTGGTGGCGGGGGTGGGGGGGGACACCCAGAAGCAGTTGTAAATAAGCATTTCTGCTCAGTGCCTCCAGCTGTCTCAGAAGAAAGGCTTGTAGATCTCCAAGGCTCCCGTCATTGGTTGAGATCTTTCTTCATTCTAAGTGTAAACTAGTTTTCCTACCTAAGTTTGCATTGTAGTTTTGCATTCTTTTCAAAAGAATGTGACCTCGCCCCACACACCTGGCTCCACCCAGCTTGCCAGTGTTTTATAAAGACCCGGGTCAGGCACTGAGAAAACTTAAGGACCGCCTCCCTAGAAGCCGGCCACACAGATTAAGGTGAGCACAGATGCCGGTGCAGATCAGAAAAGAATGCCTGGAAATTTTTAAAGGAGCTGCCCGCTGGGATTTCAGTATGTTCAATTTCTCAGCCATTAACCACAGGGAGTGAAACGGGCACGTCTAAGAAAGCCCTCTTTGTTGGCCTCGCTCTGTTCCTGCAGAAGCTGCCGCCGCCGGCCTGCCCAGCGCGGCCTCGGGGTGGCTCCCGGAGCCTCTGACGTTGCCCTGTAGTGTGTTCACCCCAATGACTGTCACATCCGGTTTGCATTTATCACCATGGCCCCTTATTCTCTTAGATCACTTGTGAGTTTAGACCGTGCCCCTGTCCAGACAGAGCAGGCCCTTTGACTTACGATTACTTCTTTTTATCCCCGCCCCCCCACAGTACAGTAGAAGGACTTGGCAAACACACGTTAGGTGTTTGGACGTAAGGTGCTGCGCAAAGGGCTCTTGGGAAAAGGAGAACTTCGGGATCCCGTTCTTAGGGCCCCGGGGGGAGGTGGGGCGGCCACTGGAGCAGGCGAACACATCCAGGGAGATGGAAAGTGCAACAGACCAGCTTTGCTCTGAGTCCAGGAATCCTCCGGTGAGGAGGGGTGGTGCCCTGCCTCCAGGGGCCTGAGGGCGGGCGCAGGGAAGTGACCTGAAAGATCAAGTCTTGATGTTGGACAGTAGGAGCACGTAACCGATGACTCAAAAAACAAAGAAGGTTAGAAATTATGACAGCACAGCCCTGGCTGGCGTAGCTCAGTGGATTGAGCACGAGCTGCAAACCAAAGCATCGCAGGTTCGATTCCCAGTCAGGGCACATGCCTGGGTTGCAGGCCATGGCCCCCAGCAACCGCACATTGATGTTTCTCTCTCTCTCTCTCTCTTTCTCCCTCCCTTCCCTCTCTAAAAATAAATAAATAAAATCTTTTAAAAAAATTAAAAAAAATTATGACAGCATAAGACCAGCATTGGGCCTGGGCAAATGAGAGGGGGCTTGCAAACATTTTAATTAGACCAAAGGGGTCAGTTGCTATACATTTAAAGGGCAAAGTTCTCCTTTGGGTGGAAAGTAATATATTACGATGAAATAAATGGACTTTATCTTTTTACCCACTGCCACGATGGGTTGAAGAAACGGTCATTGAGACAGAGCTTTGGCGAGCGGGCCCCGGTGAACACCCAGTGAGACGCTGATCGGGCCCTCGGGAAAGGACAGCTCTGGTTACGGGCCTTTCTGGGGTGTTCAGGAGCGTAAAATAAGATGAGGTCTCTGTCCTGTAGGGTATTCAGGGACTTTACAGAGGTGATTATCCTCGTTGCTGCTAATCACCTTGGAGAGGCTGTAGAATTCAGGCGTGGTGCCTGCAAGCTAGGCTGGCTGTCTTCTCAAAGATAATCAGCAAAAAGGACGTCCCAGACAGTTACGCTTAACTCCAGTCTCCAGCAAAACTATCACAGCTACAGAACGATTTAGTCTTTTGTGTATAAACACGTTAAAAGACAAAGAGGTGATCATGTTTTAGAAGAATAATGGAAAATTAAGATTGTTTTCATGAGTAATCAGAAACATAACAACAAACATGTTTATTTGAACCCGGTTTCGAAAGAGCCCTATGTTTATGGAAATCCGTATTTTTGAAAGGATAATGGGGTACAGTTGCCGAGACACCCGGTTCCGATCTGTGCTGGGCCTCGGCCAGTCCAGGAGGTCAGCGTGCTGGTGCAGGGGCGTGACTGCGCAATCCAGCGATTCTGTCGAATGCTTAGGAGAAAATACTGGAAGTTTGGGTACCGATTTTTCCCATTTGTTCTCTGAGCCCTCTCTCCTTAGTGTCTGCTGTGCTCCAGCCCTGGTTCTGGCCCCGATGAGAACGGGGATTCTCTCCAGTGATTCCAGTGAAGACAGGTAGCGCGGGGACTAGCTGTGGAATGCAGGGCAGCGTTCGGGAACAAACAGGGAATATCCTCGAATGCAGGGGTGGCTCCTGCCTTGATGCTCTGCTGAGCTGTGTCAAACACACACACACACACACAGTACACCCACGCGTGCACACACATGCACAGCACGCATGCACAGTGCATGCATACATGAATGCGTGAGTACACGTGTGTTATGTGTGTGTGCAGCCTCCATTGCCCAGCTCACCGAAGAGCCGGCAGGCAGGACTCCAGCAGGCAGGCCTGCGCCCCGCCCCCCTCGCCCGCAGGCTGGTGCTGCCTCAGAGGGCCCTCGAGCGTGGCGGTTAAAAAAGAGGAACCCACGAGGCAAAGGGCTGATCGGGACTATTTACTGTGTCCCCCCCCCGCCCCCCACCCCTAACCTCCTGCAGCTCCTTCACTCTGCCGGCACTGGCTTTGGCTGCGGTCAGTTCTGTTTCCTGTGTCTCTGGGGCGGGGGGCGATTGGGATAGGAAGGGGCGAGGAGCGAGGAAAAAAGAAAATCCTCAGGTTCTCCGTGGAAGGGACACACACGAGGACATCTCAGAATGAGCGGGGGGACCTTGGGCAGGGCCGTTCTCTGTACAAACATTCCTCGTGGTTTTCAGGGACGGAAAGATCGGCTTACACAAAGACGTGATTTTGAGTCTAAACAGACGTCGCCTTTCCAAGGTCGCTTGGAGTGTTTGGTGGACTGTAATCGGAACTGCCCCTGTCACTGCTGCGGTCCCTGCACCCTCAAATCTTAAAGGGGAATCGGCAGTTTATGGCAGAAGATGGCAGAGGGCTGTCACCTCGTCTGCAGGAGTTGGGGTCCTGGTGGTGATGGGTGCCTGGGCGTGCTGTGCAGGCAGAGACGGAGACGCAGAGACGGAGACGCAGAGATGGAGACGCAGGTCTGGAGCGGGCTCCGCAGGCGGAGGGCTGGGACCTCAGCGCAGAGGTGAGGGGCTGCCAGCACAGGACACACACCAAGGGGTTTCCTTGTGTGTCCGGCAGCCATGGCCTGAGAAGAAAGGCTGAGGAAGGACGTGGGTCTTTCATGAAGAGTTAGGGTGATCCAGG